TGCATAAAGACAACTTTACCCTTTTTATATTTTACTTTTAGTTTTTGTTTTCCATGCAAGACTTCATTCAGATCAGTCAAGTGCTCTGTGAGATACAGCATGTGAACATATGAAGTTCAAATGTGAGTGACTTTGTTATGTGCATGTTTGTGATAGAGTGCCTACAAAATAGATCATTTCAGGTACAAGAAAGGTAGCTCTAATTAATAAACTACAATTGTACCACATATTATGATTTCTGAGTATGTCTGATATGTATAATGATGGTAGAATGCAAAATGCCTAAAAAGGCAAATAATTCAAGTTGTAGGAACAAGTAGAGGCCTTGCATTTGGTTTATCACCTGTCTGTGGAATCTTGCCAAGTGTCTAAACAGATTCATAATTTCTGAATTGGAACAGGCCATAAGGCCTAATCCATAAACTCTTGAGGAGGAGGAAAAGAAGAAGATGAAAGAACAATTATATCAGTTCTGTGTCACAAATTGCAAAGATTTGAAATGGAAAAGTTTATTGCGGTATTCAAGACTTCTGTTAAAACTTGTTACCTTTAGGATTTTAATAAACATCATTTGAGTATTGTGCTAAGAGCTAACATTAAATTCTTAATCTTACCTGAGAGAACACAACTCTAAAGAACATCTCAAGCCTCTTCTGCCTGTCTTTGCGTGTAACAGCCTGACGGAGAGCTGGGTGTAGAGCCATGTTTATGCGTCCTCTTCTAATGCCTACTTGCTGAATAAATTGTTCAAAACCTTGAAGGAAATTCTGACAGAGGTATTCACTTTCAAATTTCAGTACCTGGTTTAAAGAGAATAAATAAAAGCTTTTATTGCGACAGTATATAAGGCCTTGATAAACAGAAACTGTCTTACTAGAACACATCTTATGTTGGTAGGAACTTTTATGCTAATTATAGTATGAAGTGTTATTTTGTGTAACATAGCATGGGTTATTTATTAGTATTGCATTTCTATATTTTCCTCAGTGTCAACTTCATGTACATAGTTGTTTTCATATATGTTCTGAATGTTTCAATAAAATCAGTGGAAAGTGATATGAGAAGCTTCTATTTTAGGGATAGAATTTAGTTGTATGTTGGGTAATGTATATATTTACATTTTAATTCTCTTGTGATAGATTATATGAATTAGATTCATCTGCCTTGGGGTATGGTCAGTCTATTGGTGGGCTTTATGTGCAAGACATGATTGGATTCTGTAATACCAGGGAGTTAGTCTATGTTAATTACTTTGGATTTAAATTAGCTAGAACTGAAGTTGTTCTTTCTTAACAATGAGACTATCACATTTGCAAATAATGCAATGAAAGAATGTTTTGAAGAATAAATATAAGAAATAAAATCAGATAATTGCAATTATATCACACATAAATTTTACTGTACCAGATCATAATAGTTGTTGACACGAAGCATTAGATGTACTCCATCATTGATTATGTAAACATCAATTAGTTGGCTGTGTGTGAGATCCATGGCTCGTAGCAAATGACCAAGTTGGTTTCGCACATGTACTTTCTTGGTTTCTGGATCCAGCACCACAACCACAGGTCGCAATGGAGACTTCCGGTCCACCCATTCTGATGCTGCATAGAAATATATTCACATGCTATTTATGTACACACACACCTACCTACATATACACATACTGGATGTACTGTAATTGGGTGCCAAAAAATATGTAGCATTATTCTGTGCTGAAAACTGAACAGAAAAGCTTTAATGAAGTGTCGCCTAGAGACTTTTGTTATTTAGATATTTGTTGCCTCATCCTAAGAGCCATTGCAGTACTAACTAATTAGAAGACTTCTTATTTTGACATGTTAGAAAACAGGCTGTTTTTTCAACAGCAAATCAGAAGACTTATTTTGACAAGTTTGAAGACCAGATGTGATGTTAGCAGCCAGTTATAAAATGTTTTACAGTACTCAGTCATAGCACAGTTTGATGCTTATTACCAGTTACTTGTGACTACATTTCAATTTTGTACTTCTCCTTTGTTTGATTTATACAGTACATAGTGCATTTCTAGTAATGGGTGATACTACTAACCTATGAAATGGTAGACCTGAATTTGGTTTGAAGATAGACAGAAACTTAAGAGAATCTACCACGAAGACATAACTGGTTAGCAGCAGTACTGCTGGATCAGTTGGAGAGAACATTAAATTGTAAACTGTGTTGAGCAGTTCCTACACAATAGTATGAGAAGGATTGCAGTTTGTGTCATTGTTTTAAGAATGGTTTATGGAGGACCTTAAATGAACAATTTGTGCCCATACCACATGCAGCGAATGTATAAATTGCAATCATATGATCTACTGAAGCATCTGGCATTTTGCCCATGACTTTTACCAAAAGAAACATGATCCAAAGCTTTACTTCAAGGATTCTTTACAGGTATGGAATTGTAAACTGCCAGAATTCCCACATATGGTCAGAAGAGGGCCTTAATGCAATAAGACAGGTATATTTTCAACATTGGTTTTCAACAGATATGTGGTGTGGTATTTTAGATGATTTCATACTTCGGCATGGGTTATTTGAATTTTTTGGTTAATGAACTACTCACTGTTTTGGAGGATGTACGACTTACAGCTTGGGGACGCTTTAATGGTCTAGTATAGTGGCCACCTCTATTCGTCTTTCTCCAGACCTTATTCCTTTGAATTTCTGCTTGTGGGGTGCACTCGGAACTAATGTTTATTGTGAAGTCTGAACACATGGGAGCATCCATGGAATCATATACAGTGTGCAGTAGCAGAAATAGCAATCACACTAGAAGTACTACAATACTGAAGTACGGTGGTCTCAGATGCCCTTGTATGTTGAAATTTTCTTTGAAAACAGTGGTAACCATTTTTAATTATTTATATAATTATTTGTGACTAATGTACATACAATAATGAGTTTGTGTAACAGTTATGCTAATGCTTACTCTTTCTTCCCAACTAATGAATTGCAAGCTGTAGAAACATCTCATATCTGGAGAACTAAGCTCCTTAGGACCCATATGCATTTTAGCTTTTTTGTTCTATTCTGTTATATACATTTTGACACACAGTTGCTGAACATTGTATGTGTAATATTCCATAAATCAAACATTCTGCTAAAGCCAATGGAAATCATTATTGTGATTAGTTTTACAATAAATGTTGGCCAGCCTCCACATGCTCCTGGAAGAAATCAGTATTTCTGGCATATGGCAATGTTTATGGCACATTAATGTGTGTACGTTTACAGTTTGTGTAGACAAGATACGTCTATGAGTTATTTTTTATTTTAAGTTTTGCTGTAGTATAGGTATCTGAAGGATACTTAGAAGTGTAACTATCACCATCTTTCTCCAAATAAGTGCTCATGAGACCAAGAGTTGCCACCTTATGAAGGATTGTTTGCACAGTATGTAGTACTTGCTCAGTTAGTGCAAACTTTTATGAGGATAGACTGTTTACCTGAGTATGGAATGAGAGATTTCTTTCCTTTGTGGAATGATTCCCGTACTTTTCCAGCGATTCTCGACATCTTTTCTTGATGTTTCCTTTTCTTCTGCCTAGCAAGAATGGAAAGTATACCCACAAAACCTGAAAAATGTGTAGATTGGTATTTTTACAAAATTGTTCAAACTATAATTAGTATAATGGAAACGTTAAATTTGAAATAGAGGTCTGTTATTGATAATGTGAAGTTTTATTAAATGTGCCTAAGTATATTCTCTGTCATATTCATTTTGTATAAAATACTTCTTGTATTTTTTTTTTTATTTTGTCAAATCTGGCTTCTGTTATTTCTTAGTCTCTGTACAGGCCATTTAAGAGCATTTCCATCACTCCTTTGTGGTGGTGAAAATTGGTTTCTGAAGTAATGAGAGGAAAATAGATTGATATTTGGTGATGACATTTTTATGACAAACACCTGGATATGTTATTTTTGACTACAACAGAAATTAAGAAGTGTTAGAAGAGCTCAGTATGGTTTTCTTGGAATAGAAACTTTGTGTATATATGGTAAAAGTAATTAATTGGCTTCAACACATCCACAAAATGGAAGAACACAGACTTCCAAAACAAATTTAAAGGACACCCAGTAGGAAGATGATGACTTGGACCTCTCTTAAAAGACTAGTATACACTGTTAGTTCTGAGACTGAAATGGGCCAACTTAATGGCCTAACTGCATGAATCAGTGATGATGATCTATTTTCCTTTTCAGTAATCTCTAACTGGCTCTGAGAAGTGTTAGAACTTTATATTGATCACCTGGTAGCATTCATTCAAATCCATAAAATTTATGATTGATTATTGATTCATAGATTATTTAAGAATGCTCTTTCAGATAAATAGATTGTGTCTAAGAAGACTTTTACTTTTTACTAAGAAGATAGGAAGATGTTTATGACTGATCAGTAGGAGAACATTTGGCAGGAGTTATTTAGGGCCTATTTGAAGGTACTGTCATAGCATTTACTGGAGAGACAGACAAAACCCAAAAGCCTCACTTAGGATAGCCCAGTCAAGAATCCTGAACTCAAGCTTGGGGTATCACTTCTGCATCAGTACATTTGATGCATATAATGCAAGGTTAATCCTTCATATTATAGGAAACTTTGCTAAATTAGCATATTAATAAGTTATCCTTTTATGGTGATTGTAGAGAAAGTAGCAGAAAATCAAAGTTACAGAAAGGAAAATGATTTGTTTATGATAATTTCTTCAGAGTAATCCCATGTACTCAATTTAAAACTTGTATATGTACACATGAAGGTGGTGAATTCCATCTGCAGAATAATTTTCTCTGTTGTATGTTGTATGGCATGTAAGGTATCTTGTGCCTATTTTCAGTAAAATGGTCTGGATAGGATAATTTTCTTGGGAAAGTGGCCAGTCAGAGTGACTCATGCTGGGATATTGTGGTGGATGCCAAAGTTTTCCGCAGTTTTGATAAAAGTGTTTCTGTGACTAATAGCCACGTGGCATTTTTTGTTGTCATGCAGCACACTACGTGGAATGTCCAGTTATATAGAACTTGAAGCAAATTGTTTTCTGAACATTGTCCATCATCTAAGATTAAATAAAATCAATGAAACCACAACATTTCAGAGATGGGAGTCTATCTCTGTCTTCAGGTAAAACTACTCTGTATCACCAGAGAGAGGGGTTAGCTCTATCGATTGGGCCCAACAGAGTAAGTTTTACCTGAAGACGGAGATAGACTCCCATCTTTGAAACGTCGTGGTTTTATTGATTTTATTTAATCATGGAAGATGGATATGCCCAGAAAACAATTTGCGTCAACAAAGCACCATCGTCACAAACTTTCAGACTTGAGCTATGTAGAACTTGAGTTGTTTTATACAAAGTATTATGTCAGTGCTGTTGATGAATTGTTTAATTTCGTGGCACATAACTGTTGAGCATAAAATTGGAAGAAAATGTTATCACAGGGTTGATAACATCCACAAAAATATGTAGTATCCGTGTCATTGATTAAGTACTGTGTCAGAAGTGTGCCATTGCTGTTGACATTTTTTCCCCTTTCACATACATTTGTTTAGCATAATGACAAATTTGTTATATATTTTGGTACACAGTCATAATTTTTGGAGGGATTTGATAACTTTATTTTGGAGTAATGAATGACAGTTAATATGAACTTTTGATATGATATGAGTTTTTCAAAACAAATTTTCTATTGAGTTCATTTGTCAGCTAGTGTTTTAATATATTAACTTGAAAAGCACAAAATTGTTAGACTTCATGTATGCCATTACATGCAAACAGAAATACGTAATATTTCTAGCTTTCCCATTTCTTACCAAGAATGAGTACTCCAACTCCAGTAAATGTGAGAATGAATGACGTTCCACTGTTGGAGAAGTAATCATATCTTTCTGGTTCAGTACAGTCTTCCACATTATTTATGTTGATTTGTGGAAGGTGGTAACAGTTAAATTCCGTGAAATCATTTTGTCCCACACACGTGCTATTATGTAATTGTTTTTGGCACATCTCATTCAGGTCATTGTCTGTGAACATATAACCAATAAATGTGTAAGTTTAAATAAAAATAATATTTTTCTTCTTTCATTGACACTTTTGGCATGTGTCCCTATATTGGTTTTTTGGCTGTAGATAAATGTGGAAAAATTTTACAAAATATACAGTGTAATAAAAGGTATTAGGTACATAGAACTAGTAAATGCTTGTTGTTACATGATACTGAAGCAGAAAGCTACTTTAGAAAAATGTACAGAATTTAAATATACATATTATTACTTTTTCATATGATGGAGTCGTCGTCTTCTTCTTCTCCTCCCCCCCCCCTCCCCCCCGTTTGAGAAATTTGATAAGATACACCTTTTTTAGATTCAGTTTTATATAGTTATCCATGAAAACAAGGGGACAACAAAAAATTACTTTGTTTCTCACATGTATTTCTGCTGCTTTAATTTATTTATCATTGTTTCAGTTATGTTTTTCATTATTCAATTCAATTAATTTATTTACATGTTTGCCAACAGCAAGAATCCAATAACAGGCAAACACTGATAATACATACAATAATAATGAAATAATAATGAAAAATAGTACACAAACAGATTAACTAAACTTATACATGTACAGTATTAAATATAATTGCCAAGTACAGGCAAACCCAAAATAGAAACAATATTAACACAGAGCAAAATAAATGAAGAAATATGTGATACCTGGTGTACTTTAGCTCATATTTTCACATGTGGGACATCTATCTTGTGGATGAATTATTATGTCATAAAACATAAGAGCCCTTGAATATTTTTTGAAAAGTTAGCTGATTTTGTCTTTGGTGGTCTTATTGCAGATGGCTACTGACATAAGAAACTCAGTTCTCAGATAGATGTTTCTGCAGAACTTTTCACTGCAGTAGGCATGTTTTAGTTTTAGGTAAAACAGGATTAATTCTGGAGAATGGAATCAGCTGTCAAGAATATAATAACTATTTTTGGAAACTCTTCTCAAATATTTGGAGCAATATTATGATTCAATTATATTTGATGAACAATGCAGTGCCTAATTTTAAGTGTAGACTGTTGCTTACAACATATATCAGAATAAAGCAAGTCACCAATTACATATCTCAAACATGTGATGAAAATCATGTTTTGAATTAGGCCTCTCAAGTCTTTACAGTCAGCCAGACACAGATTTGGTTTGATGTAAAAAAAATTGAAGTACATAATTTTCCTGCAAGACATACGAGTAGTGTAAAGACATTTTCCCTTTCAAACAAACTGAAGTTCCCAATTTTTCTACAGCTTTAGCAGTTTCATTCACAATCCAGTTTATATTTTTTCAGAACATTTACCTTTAATATAACTAGGCATATTCAAATCAGTTTGTCATTGGTGCCTCTAAGGACATGTTAATGTGTGTACTTTAATACTAGATCCTCATACTGCTACACAAATTGTGGAGTTAAGTATTAAGTAAAGAAAGGAAGCCAGAAACATGAGTTTTGTTTTGTCTGTGGTGTTTCACCATATCCTCCAGAATAAAGAAGAATTTTGGGATGTATAAAACTGTACTTGCAATAATATTGTGTGGAACATTACTCACAGCCATTATCTAGAGAAGGTGCTGCAAATGGGTTGGTTTGAATGTCATCATAATTCATTTCAGTTACTGACAGTATTATATCATATACTGATAGTTGTTCCAGGCGACTGATTTGGTCTTCAGTAAATAGTCTGCAAAATAAAACTGCATTAGAATATTGTCTTGTGATCTAGATAAACTGACTCTGAGCACAGCAGATGAAGTTATGTGCATTGTGTCAGCTGTAGTGGTTATATAGTACTGAATGACAAATAGCAAGATGATTATGAATTAGTAATGATTTAGGAAGAAGTTTTCTGGCAATCTGTATATATATATGTCTGCCCGTGATTCAATGGCAAACATCAATGTTACAGGCAGTAATAACCACTTTTTGTGACACTCATTATGTAAACCATGCCATTGGAGCCCACCTTGATGATTTGTAACTTCTTATCAGTAATACTATTATCAGTTTTAAAGTGGAAATAATTTCAGCTCATTTCATGTGTTGAATTTTTGTACAATGATAATTTAAAAAAAAAAGCACATTTCGTTAATCCTCTTCCCCACCAAGAGGAAAATTTAATATGACATTTTAGTGACTGTAAAATATTTTGGTGATAACTGATTATTCATGTTACCTGGAAGGTCCTCTTTGGAACCCTAAAGTGCAATGCACTACAGCAAGTACTAATAATTCTTGTTTATCTACAGTATGTTCAACAGTAGTTGAAATTTTATGAATTATATGGAAGCTCTTTGAACATGAAAGAGTTTGCTGAACATCTCAATAAAAAAAAATTGTATTAGATGCATTAGAGATCCAGTCATATATGTTGTAAACTTGTATTCTAAAAAAGTTTTATCTTGTGGTCTGTTAATCTAATTTGAGTAGCTTGTAGAGCCTTATTAATACTATCTGATTTTTAGTTATACTTAAAAAACTGCATCTAGTATTATATTATATTGTCTTTCTCTAGGAAATCAAATCTTGAGTCACTGAAGGCTTGTCAGTAGTTGATTTATTATACTGAGAAACATTATGAATATTATGGTGGACATTGTCCATTATTTGAAGTATTTTAGTGGTTGGCACATTAGTGTAGTATTCAGAATGTCACTAATGTTAAAATAAAAATAAGCATTAACAAATCTATCAGTATTACACCCAGTCACCTGAAGACATTAGTAGAGCCTGCTACCAAAATGTCTTGTATTAAATACATGTCAGACAATTGACAATGTCCAACATTTATTCATGTAAGAAACTAAATGAACCAAAATACAGTGAAGAGTTGATGCTATGTAGTCTTAGCTTCTGGGACTATTGTTAAATAGACCACAAATGAATAATATACTGAAGAAATGTTTCTATGTTTAGAGATCGTCCTTACTACATGGACCGAATATTGCTGAATAATACATTCAAATGCAGTAGTTGAGATTAGCAGTGGTATAACACTTTTTTTTTAACAAAGGGCTTACTTCAGTCCTTACCTTTTTTAAGCACTTCTATTAGTCATGTATAAGGACATCACTTAAGTTTACCTAATTACCTATTTGCATTTGAACAGGTGTCATAATTTGAAAGTGTCATTGAGTTTTATGAAACAATACAGGGAAATTTTTATGGTGGGAAACAGGTTTTTTACCTTTCCAACAGTCTGAAATTGTTCACAACCCAACAACTTCTGGAACTGTTCAAGTGAGAGGTCTTAGAATACCCAACTCTGACCTGACACCAGGTGATCATCATTACCATTGCTTAAGCAGTGTCTTGGAGGGACTGTCTAAAATTGATGTTAAATATGTAAATGGTATTGAAACAGTAGTTGAAAGAACAGGACACTGTCTTCAAAATCTTCAGAAGTTGTTGAATTAAAAAACTAAGCTTTTGGTATGTCAAATGTCTGTCTTCATGAAACTATGTGGAAAATAGTTCACAGGTCAAAGTCATAAAATGGCATATTATCTGTATTATATCTGTATATATTATCTGTATTGGAGATTCATTAAATCACTTACAATGTATATCTTTCTGACCACACCTCATATATTGACTAGTTAATGGGTGTCACTTCAATTTAATAATAACATACCTGTTATTCATGTTTTTGTACCAGAAGCGATCACCATCTCGTATTCTGGTAAATTGATCTTTAATTATTTCAGTGAAAAGTTCTCCTGGACCTTTATCAGTTTCCAAAATACCACCTACCCACACATCTACATTATTCATTTTGTTCTTATGTAAGTTTATAAATGCTGCTTTAATCTGAAACAAACATGACATAATGTTATACTGTCATAGGTAGTCTGTGATTATGATTATTTTTACATATTTTAGTCTGCTTTACTTTCTTAAAGAAAGGAAGATAGAAAGAAAGCTGGCATGTGAAGTGACCTACCATATCTGTGATTTTGTTTCTTCCTGTCAACTTTAAACTATTTTACCAGTCTTCCTGAAATTTGATATGAATGTTATACCTTTGGAGACCATCTCTGCCATGTACTTTTCAATTTCCTACAATCAGAGATGGGAGTGGCACTTGGCACTTAAAATGGGGTCCTGAAATGATCTGTGAAAGAAGATTGTTGAAGAATATGCACCTTTGTTAAGATCATTTTTTGTCAAGTGCAATACATTGTGACAGCATTAAATCTGCATGTAAATTTTGGTTTTATGGTGAAGACTGATGAGTCATTCGAGCTACTAGGCATTAAAAATTTAGAATGTAGACAGATGATACCTACATATTCTACATGAAATATTGTTTGTAAATCCACAATTATAAATGGTGTGGATCTTTGAGGTTATGTATGGAGATTTAACATAGTGTTTGGAGTTATTAATGTTCTTCTCAGTCTGAAATAATAATCAGTATTGCATCCCAATCAGCAAAATAATTCTGAATTCGCTAGAAGCTGATCTCTGACCATCTGTGCTTGAATTCAGTATCCAATCATACATACATACGTCTTTATTATAAAGGCTGTATTGTGTTGCAGTGTTGGGTTGTAAAATAATTTAAATACAACATTTAACACAAATTTTTGAGCCCTGAAACTTTGTGCAGTAGGAAAGAAGGCTTTGTAAGTTCTGCCCAGGACAATTTGATTTTATGTTCTTTACAAAAAAATTTTTAAAAAAAATATTTTTCATCCATCTGCCCAGGACAATTTGATTTTATGTTACTTACAAATTTTTTTTAAAAAAAAATATTTTTCATCCTTATAATGGCCCAAAACTTAATGTGTGAAGTGATTTGATTCTTAGTTCAAAATATTGTTATATGCTATCTGTGAAGAATTAAAAACTTTTAAATGCTACATATTTCTACTGCATTGTAATGCTTTCGATGTTGCATAACTTACCTTTGCATCTACATTTTTAAAGTCATTCAGGTCTTCTCTTCTTTTCAAGCCAAAGGCTTGGCGAGCAGTATTGTAATCTGGAAGACCATGGTCACGACCTCTTTGAATATTGATTGCCATTAGGTCTCGTCTTGAAAATTCTAATGGCCCAAACACTCGTCCTTTTAAGAAACAAATAAAGTGTTATCACATGTCATTTATGTATGTGTGAAAACATCCAAGAAGAAATAACGTTTTTGGATGCAACTCTTATAAACATAACTGAAGAAGGTTAATAATTCTCAATAACTAGAGTATACAGTATGATACTACACAGTATTGATAATAACATATATAACTTCTTAGTCTCCTGTTCTCCCAACCATCACAACTAATGCTTTAGTTTTCCCCCTCATTTTGGGTAATTCTGGTATCATGTAAACTTCAGAAAATCTCAGGATATCTGGTCGCTGACTTGTATCAAAACTGAATATATCCCATTAAACAACATATTGGTCAAAAAACCATCAAAGATTTATTGTTTACTTTCTTAAAGTTATTAAATTTGATTATGTAAATTTAACTTTATGTTAATACTCAGATCAATAGAATAGCACAGGACCCATTGAAAGTAAGAATTTACAGTACCCTGTTTGATAGTATGTGCTCATTAGAGTAAGTATAGAGTCATCTACCTCGTAGATCTTCAACTATTTGATGATCTTCTTTTTCACATAACTGGAAGGCCATTCCCATCAGTAAACGATCAATGTCAATGAATTTTCCTTCTGTTGTGTTAGCTTGGATAAAATCCTACAAACATATAAAGTTGTTTCTTACAGCCAAAAGTCAGTATCTGAAGACTTGAGAAGCTTTGTGCAACCAACACTCACACTTTAAATAATTCTTAATCAAAGTGTACTAGTTTTGATAACAGTATTAGATGTCTATGCATTTGAGTGTAATAATTTAAGTAAGTAAACGATAGTGGGGGTTAATGATTCAGTACCTATAAAATATTAATTCATAATTTGAATAAAATTACACATGAAACATGATAGGAATTCATAACTAAAACCTAAATAAAAGCAGATTGTTGAAGTGAAGTACACTTTATTTTACATTTCCATCTACTAAACATTGGAGCATACCTTTCCACTTTTGTTAAATTAATCCTCTCTCTAACCCTACCCCCACCCCAAGCTTTATAAGACACATTGTTTTAATTAAATAAATTGTATTTGTCATTTGTGTTCAGTGCCTTGCAAGTGTGAATTTGTCAATGATCATAGTTGATTTGTGGTTCAGAATTTTTACTTAACCCTTCCATTAAATTAAATTAAATCCGTGGCATGACAGCTCCAGAGAGCCAAAGCCTACTAGCTTGACTGCTGGCCTCACGTTCACGTGCCTAAGCAGAGGTGAACGATCATCCAATCAGATATAGGGTGACTTGTGGTCAGCACGACGAACCCCCAGCCATTGCTAGCTTTCCTGACCGGATTACGCTACTCATTGTAGCTCCCCAATTTCCTCACGATGCTGGGTTGGCACCAGTCCCATACACTGGAAGCATGATGCCTCAGACCGCGCGGCTACAGCGCGGGACACTTAACCCTTCCATGCTAGTTTTAGTTAAAGGAACTTTCTTCTTGTATACATATGGTAACATTATTTCTGTTGTTGAAAATCCACAAATAGTCAGCTTGAACTATACAGAAGTATTTGGGAATTTTCTTGCTGGTCTTATCAAATGCCAGATAAATCCAGATCAGAAGGGCCAGTGCCTTTAACAAGATATCTCATTCTTTATATTTAAGGGAATAATAAACGAAATTTATTTTTTTGTTGCTGGAAAAAGAATATGTTAAAATATATCTTATGTATGGAACTTTAAAATTTTATATATTAAAAAGGTTTCCTTGAGCTACTCTTCTCTATAGCAGTCCTTACCTGAGGTCTCCAGAAACTGTTGCAAGTACGGATAGTGCCATTAAGAATCAGATCTTTAATCTTGTCTTTCTTACTGAGGGCTTTTACTAGCTCACAGCCATCTTTGGCATAATTTCTTACATATACACCTGGAGAAAGATAAGATGAGTCATTTATCTATCTTTGTAAAAAGTGTGAATAACATAACTTTATGGAGCAGAGTTTTTGGGAAACAAATAATTACTCATGAAGTTAAAAAATTTCCCACCTTTTATGATTTGAAAGCTCATCATATTTAGTAGATTAAATCAGGAAGGTTACATTGAGACAGGCACACACGTTTGAGGGAAATAAGAAATACAGTAGATAACAGACTCCTATGGAGAAATTACACTTAATAATATCACTTAGAAGAGTGAGTCACAGAAGGAAGAAACATATGAAAGTGAATCTTAGAGAACAGGTTGTGGCCACATAGATTAAGCTGCCCCAGAAGAGGCTGCAGTGGCAAGCTTTTGCTGGATTTCATGATGTCAGAAGTTAGTTTTGTCTTGTTACTTCTGAATTTATAGACGGTCAAAATTTCTTATTTTGTTGTTATACAGATTGTCTTCATCTTCTATTATCCTTTTTGAGTAACTAGTTGTTGGCAGCTTACCTGGTGGTACAAGTGTATGTCCAAATCTGAAAGCTGCTGCTTGAAAGAATTGATCTATCTGTGGATCAATACTTGGATCATAACCTGTAATAAAACATACATAGTCAACAGATATGTCTAAATCCTTATTCACAACTGTTACACTGACACTATTTTAAGATTTATTCTTACTTTACCTTTATAATCATCCAGTCTTTTCCCTAGCCATTCTGGCAACCACTGGTTTATCACAATATGCTGTTGACTAGCAATGACCCACTTTCTCGCTTCATTGTATATCTTTTCACCATTCCATTTAGGGTGTGTTTTGTGTAGATAGTGGGCTATGTGGTTATGCCAACGAAACCAGAGAATACCAAATGTCAATAGGAACGGGTTCTCATTACCACGAGGATTTCCCAGTTCTGTGAATATAAACAAATATTTTGAATTTGCTATACTCATGAATATATAATATATATTATAATAGTGTAATTAGTTATAGGGCAAAATAAGAATAAATTCCTCACACAAATTAATATGACTACCTCCACATACAAGCTTGTGAAACCATGAAGATGACATTAGATGAACTAGAACTGACTTTTCTGTTATTCATAATTGTGTTTATATGTTGCTGTGTCTACAGTCAGTAATCTTATGCCATAGAGGATCCGCCATTGTGACTTTTCAGTTTACTCTTAGCGACTGCAATGTTACCTTATTTTGCTCTTACTTATTTTACAGTGGAGTTTGGAAATATTTATCTAAGGATGTGTTTTTGACAAGTATATTAAACGTCTTTAATAAACATGCGGTCATTGGCCTTTTGTAGGTAAGACAAGTTGTATTACTTACTAAAAAATCTTTCAACTTTGTGGATTTCGTGCTTCTCGCTAAACTCGCTGTGATAAACTGGGGGTGGTGGATTGGCCATGGGAAGCCTCATTTTGTTGTAGTCTGGAAATAGTCCATTATGTGAACTTGCCAGTAGACCATGAGGAGCCAGTGTTCCATTTGCATACAGCCGTAGGTGATCAGACCAAGCTTTGGTTGTTCCATAGATAAGACCACCATCAAGCCATGGTGTAATCTCATTCAACTGTAAAGATATTGTTAAGAGTGAAAAATATACATTCTCTGATGCATCACAAGAAAATAACATAACACAATGACCAGTATCTTTTTAAGGAGTTTATAGTTATTCAACTAGTCAAGAAATTTCTTGCATGTACAGAACTAGGTTTATTGCTGGGTTCAGAAAACCCTATCATTACACCCTATTCTGAGCCAGGACTGTTTCCCTAACATCTGTTTTGATGTTATCTGATCTGTGCTGAGGTCTCCGAAGTTATTTCTGTACAGTAAGTTTTCCAACAATATGTCTGAATTTTTTAGTTCTTCTTCTATGGTGCAACAACCTAAAGTCGAGCCTTGGCCTCCTCCTATGTGGGAGATTTCTTTGTCTTTGAAGTGTGCATTTATGAGTAGTGAGTAACAAGCCCACAAGACACCAGTGCATGTTTGTCAGTTCACTTGCAGTTCTTAGTCCGTGGTTAATGCAATTTGCTTTTTCTCGTTGCATTTTATATTCTGTTTTTTGTGTAATTATTTAAATTTTAGGCCGTAGTTTATCATTTAGTATTATAATTTTATTACAATGTCGGGACCATCTGTGTCTAGGATGTCGGGCAGAGTCATGACTCATCACCCCCTCCAATCGTGATCTATGAGAGGCCCAAAAGTGAAGTGGGCGTAAATTGAAGCGGCGTAAACCAAGTCCTACATGTATTTCTTTCTTTCCCCACTGCATGAAAATACACTATGTATTGTTTCAGTTATTTCAGTGTATTCCTTTTATTTTTCCTTATCAAAGGATGATTGATACATTGTTCTCCACAGGATGTCAGCAGTGAATTTGAATATAATGTGGTGTAAGAGGAGACCATTATATTTGATTTTAATTAAATTATCATTAAATAGGCAAAATGTCACAGACTTCACTTCTTGATTTGAGCATAGCAGTTTACTGTCTCATTATAGCTGTTATTGAGAATTAGTGGCACATTTAGTGTGGGTATGAAATTAAAAGAAGCATTCACTGTACCTGCTGACGAGGATTGTTCGGTGAGAACCCTGTGCGCATATCATAGCGTGTTCTCAACAGTGGTATTTCAGAGTGATTCGGTTTATTTTTGTAGTATGAATGATATTCTGGTATTTTTATGTTGAAGTATTCTGGAGGACATGCAGCTCTTTGTGCATCCAAGATCTCCTCAACCACTTGTTGACCTACATGAAAAGAGAATTAATTAGCAAATTAATGGTGACTGTGAAATGTTCTTTTTTTGAACTCTTAGTTATATTTCATATGTGGTTCTAAATATGTAAGTCATTACTCCCCCTCCCCCCATTACTGTTTGAACTAGTAGATGGGTTTTCATTAAACTTGGTGTGATTATCATGCATGTGGTGGCCACTTTGTTAATTTCCCATCATGACTAATATCAACATGGTGGGCCATGCAAACATCTGAGTTCAGAGCAGCACTGACATTGTGAAGGTTTTGAAATTTTGTATGGTAACAGATCTTTGGAAATCGCCACGAATTTTGTTAAGAAAATTTCACAGAATGTATAACAGTAACATACTTGTTTGAATTAATTATTTAGCTTTCTTTTTAATTATAATAAGTAATGAACCTTTGAAGATAGATATTTGAAGTTTTGTCTGATTTAATTTAGAAATAAGATCCAACATATGTCTATACAAAAAAATTCCATTTTAAATATTGTATACTTGTCAACAATTACAAGCGTGGTGAATAAATTTGCATTATATGTGACAAATCTTATGTAATCAGAATCTGTATTAGTGTATCAGATTGTGCACATAAATAGATCACTGTATAGTGTGATTATTAATTTACTTCCAGCCTCAACATGTGGATGGAAACAGGTGAACTTCCTAGAATTTATTGTTTTAATTTGCATAATAATTAAGTTAATTACAAGCTTCAAGGCCGATTGTTGAATATTGCCATATTTGGTTGATTGATTTTAAAAATTTCATTTTGATTTAGTAATTTAAATAAATTCTGTTTTATATTTCAACTGGGGAAAAATAGACATACTCTTAGCATGAACATAAGCTGCTAGTCACAGAATTTTGTTGCTTTTTCTTATCAAAGATCTACTCTGGGGAAGGAGTGCTACTTAAGAGTCAGTCTGTGTAACTAAGATTATGTGCTTAAAGTACACAAAATAGGAATTATATCGATACTGTTGGCTTCTTCAGTAGTGACACTGCACTATTAGTTCCCCGCAACAGTCTAAATGTCTACCTAAGATAAGGTAGTATGTGGAAGCTAAGTACTACAATAAGGCTGTGATACCAGAGAAGCCCCTGGTTGGTCTGACAGTTCTGTTTTTGTGAAAATGTTTTGTAGCACCTTCTCCTTGGGATCCATGCTCAGTAAGTAAAAATCTGCATCTGTATCACCCACAACATGAACATGAGCATGAACAGTTACCAAATTCCTGTTGTATACATCACATTGACAAGTCTTTAAAATTAAATTTGTAGTTCTTAATTAAATTACTTGTACTTATTTCTTTACAGTGAACAGTGTTTCAGAAAATTGATGTATTTTTTAATTTAGTTTAATATAAACTATGGGTTATATATAGGACCTTTATGGATGAAACTTACATTTACCTTATAATGTTTAGTGTGTCTCCACCCTGTTCCTCCTATCCAAATGTTAACGATATTGTTTGAGTTGGAGGTGAAACATATGAAAGTGTATACAAATACAGTCTTGCCATTATGCATTTATTCACATTATGCAATTCATGGGGTCCGCAGTGGCCGCGCCGTCTGAGGCGTTGGCCTTGTGCCGCTTGATCGCTGGGACCGTGGGTTCGAATCCCACTCAAGCCATGTATGTTTGTCTGCGTCTTTCTGTGTTGTGCTGTCCTGTGTACAGGTAGAGGCCTTGCGACAGGCCGATCCCTTGTCCAAGGAGTCCTACCAAATGTCTATAGATCAAGCCAACGAAAAGTTGGGACCCGCAGTGCTCAGGCACTTGAAGAACGGGTCGTTCCCAGTATCCCCCCCCCCAGTATGCAATTCATGCAAAGAATGCATAATACAGCTGCTCAGAATAATACATGCATTCAAATCAAATATATTTTTATTTGAATGCTCTCTAGCTTTTCAGGTTTTGTTTTGTGGTTTGGCAGCTCAGATACTGCTTTTAATGTGCATCACACCTTCAAAGCTCAGTGGTAACCACATGTACTTCTGTTGTTAACATTCAGTAATTTTGTATTTTTCCAACAAATTATGTATTATTGGTTGTATAAGGTTCTCAAAATAAACTGATTATTTCCCTCAACAGCATTAACCAACTGATCTTTATAATGGAGGTGCATTTTATTTGTTTGAGGTAGGAACTGAATTTGGATGATCTGTGGTCTTCAAAGGATTAAAGTGAGATGATTTTACAAAGTCTTACCAAAGAATACAAGTAGTGCAGTTTTTCCAGTTGATGACTGAGTACCAATTGTTCCTTTCAGTAGTTGTTCACTGAGATCCAGTGGGTTAGGTCGATCATGACCTGAAGGTTCATACACACCATCCTTATATGCTGCTGGCCAGCGTCGTAGCAGAGGAGTATCTACAATTACCATCATTAGTTGTCATGTAAATACTCAACTTTTTACAATATTAAAATTTCAGACCCTGCATTAACCTAGTGTACATAATATTCACTTATCACAGATAAATACTTTATTTATAAAACATATGCTGTAAATACCTGAAGGGGACATTGTTTTTTGTCAAAACATGTAATGACTGGCTTTACAATCTTCAACATACCTTATGTTGTGATAATTTTTCATTTCATTGGCAAATAATATGAATTTGGAATAATTATTCTAGCAAATTATTGTTAATTAAAATATTAAGCAATATAGGACCAAGGGTAGATAGAGCCTTGTGTTGCTCCCAGCAATACAGAAAAAGGATAAGAACTTTTCTAAGACATGAATGAAGGAAGATCAATTCAATAAGTGGCTTTGGAAGAACTTAATGTAAAATGAAGATAGTCCAAAGGTATTAAGCTAATAATAAAAATGATGATGGCGGTTATGACGACAACATCTACGATGATGATGGTGGTGGTGGTGGTGATGACACCAGTTATCACAATATGACAACAGTAACAATAATGATTATAACAACAGCAGTAGCTTTACATACCGACAGCACCCAAGTCAGGCCGAGCAAGGTTGTTGTAAAATCCGTCATAGCCTTCATACTCAACATCTTCAGGTTCCGTGACATTTAGACATGTTAAATGGGTTTCACTCCAACATCCATCAACCAACCATTGAAGTAATCTGTCCTTTTCACCATCAGTGGCCCAATTCGTCTTTGTGGGTTTACCTGTATTGACAGTAATAGGGCATGGGATATAAGCCATAATGTCAAAGTTGTAGATGGAGAGAGCAAGATGCTGTTTTGAAGCAAGAATTTGCTCTGTCTATTTCATGAACAAAAGATGTTTCTGTGGCCACATATTATTATCTTCATGGAGCATAATTCTTCTAGAGAAGCTAATAGTTTCCTCAGCTGATTAAAAATTTCCCTACTTTTGTGAAACCCAAAGGCTCATTAGCATGTTCACAAGTGCCCATTGCTGGTCCCTGTCCTGAGCCAGATTAAACCAATTCATACTCTTCAGCCTCATTTTCCTGAGATCCGTTTGAACATAATTTTTAAATAACATTTTAATGTGCATGTTCCAAAATATAATGAGGAAGTCCATTTTTGTATATAAAATAAAATTGAATATTGAGTCTAGTCAAGGTATGAAGAAAGAAAGTAACTCCAAAATAGCAATGAACTTGATAAACTATTCAAGTATTGTTGAAATCTACAAGTAGATAACCATTCTCATCCTTCACCATTTTAATTCAGATTGGTGATGCCCCATAAATTCATTTAAATTTCCTTTCATATTATCTCCATTCATTGGGTTTATTCTGCTTTAATTAATAAAATCCTACATTTTGTTTGGCTGAACTTAATTTACACACTTTCATAGTAGATTTTCTAATGCTCCAAGCCTATTTTTAGATATGAACCTGATGCTGAAACTAATCAAACTGGTAAATAAAACTATAAATTATATAATACATAAAGTAAATGAGATGGAATTAATAGGTAAAAGGGTATTTCACGTACATATATAAATGTAACTTAACCCTTTAAAGCTGAATGATAATTTTATACAGGTAGCCCTAGATTTACGCCGGGGATGCGTTCCTGTACGAACCGGCGTAAACGGAATCGGCGTAAATTGAAGTTCTTATAATGTAAATCAATGGGAAGTCAATGACATGCGTTCCCAGCACCCAAACATTGACGAGTAATATAATAGCATTACATTTAAAGCTCTGGAATAACGTAAATAAAATAAAGGTAATTTAAAAATATATTTTATACACTTACAATCGGCAATTCGTTGGTCCCCGCGATTGACTGCGATTCTTTCATGTGACTGATGTGTGCAGTCATCTCTGCTGTTATGCGATAATTGAATTTATGTAAGACGCCGACATATAGAAAATCGCGTAGTAAAAATAACCCCTAAACCTCCGCAGAGATTAAATTAGTCATTTGAAAGTTTAAAACGCCAGGAATAAAATTGCACAAGAGCAAACTCGCATATGCGAAAGTTTGCATTTCACAAACAGCTTTTACCGATTCATCGATCTCATTGGAGCAAATTCGCGTTAACGAAACATACGTAATTGCAGAGATGACTGTATTTATAATTTGTATTCAGGATCAGCGATGCAAGAATTACGATTTAGTATACGAATCAGTACGAAATATATTGTAGAACGTTATAAATAATAGTAAAATATATTTTTTCACTTTTTGACTTGCTGGTTTCAAAATCGGCGTAAATCGAGGGCTACCTATACTTTATTTCCTTGATTTTATTATGCACCCTTGATTTAGTAATAGGTTTTCAGGGGAAAAAATAGGTATATTACAATAGGAATTGTCAGTATTCAAACATAATACTTCTGGAATCTTCTTTGTTGTTATTTTTGTGTGTACTGTCCCATGACTAGTGTTATGGACACAGATATTTTCCTTGCACTTTATAGTCATACAATATAATTTTTCAAGGTTGATTCTTAGACCCCAATTTCAGAAATTTTAAAATACAAAAAAGGTGTCTTCAAATTTAGAAAATACAGTATACACCAGCTGCTCTACTAATCTGTATGTCTTTTATATTTATGAGTTTCATATGATTCTCAGTGTAAACAGGGATTGTTTCCTAGAACAGCATTTAACCAAGTGATTTTTGTAATGGAGAAGTGTTTTATGTTTCTTTGCAGCACAGAATGAATTCTTTAATATTATTAAGATGAGCTTCAGCTTCAAAGAGTTGATGTGAATTTGGTAAAGATGAGAATAGGGATGTACTTGCAGGCTTTCACACTGTTCTAAATATATGGAAAAATTACGTTAGCCTGTTATATTAAAAGCATTCTTGGTTACAGATAATTTAAATAGTGTGAAATAAGAACTCGGACAACCAAATAATGGAACTGTGTGGGTTTTTTCGCCTCATTATCTAATATTAACTTTTATTTCAATGTCATCACTGTTATTTTGTCTGCATGTGTGTGTTTTTCAAGTTCAGTACACTACAATTTTTATGGAAT